ATAAACACACACACACACACACACACACACCAAGAGAGAGAGAGAGAGAGAGAGAGAGAGAGAGAGAGAGAGAGAGAGAGAGAGAGAGAGAGAGAGAGATGTGAAGGTCCCTTGATGTGCAGCAACACTACTTTCTTCCCTGGCCGCTTTCATGAAAGAAGGGGGAATGGGGAGGAGGAGGGGGTTGTTGGTCAGTCATGGCTTGAGAAGTTGAGAATCATAAATGGCAGACGGAACCTTCATTGAGGCTCTTTGCATGCCTGTGTCAGCTTCTCACCCGTGTTGTGTCCTGTGATCATTATGCGTTCGGCTGATTAATGTATTGCTCAACTGTTGTTTTATGGATGATGATGCATCGTCTCATGTCTGACCTGCAGAATTGCCTTATGTGTGTGGCATTTCATCCGACACATCCAGCCCTCATTGCAGGGGGAACATATACTGGTTCGTTTGTTTATAACTCTATCACCTCATTGCAATGGAAATTTATTCCGTGTCCTTCATTTGTTGATTTATGCACCTTTGGAAATAAACAAAAAACAAGCGGATGCCTGCCTGTGGCGGAGACCTGCTCCCCTTGCCCCTTGTGGTTGTTGGCCACCTCCTCTCTGTCACGCCCTCCATTTGCCTCCTCTTTGGGCACCTCCCCCTCCTCTGCTGTGTGCTGCTCCTGCATGTCGTGAGTGGCAAGGGTTGATTTGGCACACAACAAGGAAACACACCCCTCCTTGCCAGCAGGCCACAATACAGTGCGCCCCCTAAAAGAAATCGAAAAGTCCTATGTGTGTGTACCTTCCCCTTTTCATGCTGAAGATTCTTTGTCGAAATGAATTATCAAAGCGTCGCCGCGATGGATGGAATCGCGGGCATAGGGCCTCGCTCCACTACTCACCGCGTGCACAAAATCTAGGGTACCAGAGTGACCCAGGGCAACTTCCCGACCGGGCCAAAAAAAAGAAAAGAACTTTTATTTCCATTTTCATTTTAAATTTGGTAAAGAATTTCAATGTGACCGTGAGGGAAAAGTTGTTCAGTTTAGTTTTCTGCATCACATAGTTTTTTTTTCAGTTTTTTTTTTTTTTTTTTTTTTTTTTTTTTTTTTNTTTTAGCTGGGCCCTTCTGTGGTCCTTGCACAGCCGGGCTGCCTGGTCAAACAAGGTGACCCTGGTGGCCCGGCTGATAGCCCAGCACAAAAGACAAAAAATATGGCGTCACATCTTCCCATTTTCTAGGGGAAGATTCATTCTCATTTTGTACATTTGGTGAGTAGTGGAGGGAGGCGACATGGGCCCTGCGCATTGATGACACGCGTAAATAGACAGGGGACAGGTAGTCCCCAAAAAAACAAAAAACACCGAATGAATCTACAGAAGAAAAAACAAAAACAACTCAACGCATTTACGGCAACCAAGGACTGTATACAGGTCTGGCTCTAGAACAAATTTTCCGTTAGAAAATGGGTAGGTACATGTGCATGTGGACCTCAACACTCCAATTTTTTTGGGAGGGGGGCACTCCGCCTTCGTTGGGGCGCACCGCTTGAAATCCGTTTCGTGCTCCCCTTGAAGTTTGTTTCACGTTGTCGAGCGCATCGGTCGGGGTTGTCACCACCTTTGGACAGGCATATACCCGCCGAGCTACCGAACCACGTGCGACAACTGTTGGAATGCACTCGCAGAGGTGGCTCAGCCGAGGGCGTGTCTCGTACGCTGTAGCATAGGGGGTACGCGCGGTCGAACGCCTTAATCGGACGGGTACGGGAACCGATGCTCTGGGGCCTAATCTCCCAAGCGCGACTCTGCGCTGGTCAACTAGGACGGTTCATTTAGCCACGGGGTACACTTCAGAAAAACAAAATGAGACTCCAAAGCGTAAATTGCGCCTAGTCCATTTTTCATACATGACCCATAACCTTTTGACGATACAAACCGACTTGTGTCGTGTGCAAGCCTCCGAATAAATGTCGCGGCGTCGTGGGTCTTGTGTTATGACCCTGGCCAATTTCGATATACACATCCATCAGAAGGTACAATGCCATCCAATTGCAGAAAGAAATGAATGAACTTGAGAGGAGAGAGAGAGATGATTAGAAGAAGAAGAAGAAGTAAGAAAGAGGAAGAAGAAGATGTACACCAGCAAAGACAATGACAAGGCTCTTCGTCTTCGCCCAACAATCTCCTCCTCCTTATCTCCCCCTCCTCTTATTCAAACTGAATGACTGGTCCAGAATCAATGTCCGAGTCCCTCTTCTACTGCAGGTATCACTCAAACCATGGCTGCCTCTCTCACTCTTCCGCCTCTCTCACTCTTCACTCTCATAGGCCTTGCTCAGATCTCCGAAGGACAACCCAAAGCAGCTATGGCTACTCCAGCTCAGGCCGCCATGCCCAGCCCTGCCTTGAAGCTTCTTGGTGTGGCTCTCCCCGGCTGGGGACTCCTTGCTGCAGCGCCCACCAAGGTGATGAAGATGGCTGCCACCATAGCCAGGTAAGTACCCTTGGCGCTCCTCCCCCTTCCTTCCTCCTTCCTCCTTCTTCCTCCCTCAAGTCCTTCTCCTTCCTCCCCAGCAGCGCTGCTCCAGCCAGCACTCCACCAGTGTGTTGCCAAACTTGCACACCGAAAAAAAGGCCGGGTCTTCCGCCCGGCCTGAAGATATAGCGGCATGCTTTGCCTCTTGGGCGGTGACTTCCAGGCCGCTGGCCTTCCCAAGCAACCGGTACCTCCTCCTTTTTGGAGGGAAACATCATTGCAGACTCTGATATTGCCCCTACAGGCCCTAGACTCAGACTGGTACCCGCTAGACCTAGCCTACACTACCGGCCTCTAAAAAAATGCCACTTCTGTCTTCTTCTCCTCGGCCTCCGGTACTTGCATATTTACCCCCCTGCCGGGTGCAGTACCGGCCTACCCGCTACTTGAGTGGTTTTTACCCGCTGCAACCCTTTGAAGCCACGGCCACAGGTAAGTACCGGCTCTGAGGGCCCAACGAACGAACAAGTGCCCTGGCGGGCCACACACACACACTCATACCAACCAGTACTCAGACAGGCACAGTCCAGCAAGCACACACACACACAGACTTCGCAGGCGGGGAACTCAGTAGGGCATTTAGTCTATGAGCAAAAGTCATAAATCAGCTGTGTTTGAGTCCGTGTTTGGACGGGTTATCACACTATCCCCCCCTCAAGAGCGAGGTCCCTTCGAGCGAGTAACTCATTCTGAGTCCTCGGCAAACGCATCGTAAGCGAGCAAGGCAAAGAAATTCCTGGAATACTCTGTCGCAGTGAGCCTTGTTGAGATCTTTGGTGCGGCGTTAGCAGCGATTTGTCACTCGTAGGCTTTGACAACGAGCGGTGCGCTGCGTAGCAGTTCCTGTTTGGAGATCCAGTACAGATCGTCTAACGGGTGATACATAAAATGAACCTGGTACTATCTGTTTCTTCCCTTACCTACATGCTGTTTTATTCTATCTATTTCATGCCCGCCCTTGATTGCGCGAGGGATTATATCTTCGCGGCAATCGAATGTCTCGGCGTCACGGTGGAGATACAATTTAGATGCATGGAACACGGGATATGTGCGCAGGTGAGCTGGCACGTCTGCAACGTACGAAGGGCCAAAGTGATCTTCCCCAATTACATCCAAACTTCCCAAGGCCCGTAGTAGAGTGGGAGGAGTTTGCGTGAGACTCCGTCCTCTTCTGAGAATTCAGACATCTTCACCCAGACATAGCTACCTGAATCTCTGATGGTCGTTGCTTTTTGTTTGCATGGTGGATCATGGCATGTTGTCACTTGGTCATAGCTGCAACAGCAACTTTGAGCAAGCGATCATACTTAGCCCTGAAGCCGGGCCTGCCGGGTGTGTTAAGCCAGCTGGCTGCTCAGGGAATAAGTAGGAGAGCGGATTACGGATCTGCCAACCGTAGTGCAACCTGTTGGGTGTCATGACGGTGGCAGAATGGACGGAGTTGTTGTACAACCCCTTAACAGAGTACAGCTCCTCATCCCATGTCTCTTGGTACGGAATAATCAACGCGCAGAGAAGTTGAAATACAGTCTGGTTGACCTCCTCAGCCAAACCGTTGGCTTCGGGGTGTCGGCCAGATGTCATGCACAGTTTGATTCCTATGTGAGACGTGAAATCCTTCCATTCAGTGCTAATGAAACGCGGATCCCGATCGCTCACAAGAGTCTTCGAGGTTCCGAATTGCAGCAGGTATTTCTGTTGGAATTCGCGAATCACTAGATTTGTTGGGGCATGGGGCGGCAAAGGGATCAGATTAAGAAAGTTTGAAAATCGGTCAACAATCACCATGACTTGTGAATACCCGTTTTTGCTTACCTTACCCATGTCAGTGAAATCGATGGAGACAAACTCCCGGGGACCATCAGGAATGGGTAGGGGTGTGAGTACCCCCATGGGCTTTTGTCTGCATGGTTTGATCCGTTGACAGACTTGACATTCAGCCACAAATTTCTCAGCAGTCCCTTTCATGCCAAGCCAATCAAACTGTCTCAGCAAATTAGCGTACGTTTTTGCCATGCCGAAGTGCCCGCTCCGGCCATGAGCCAAGTCCAGAAAGTGTGTGCGGAGAGGCTCATGGTTGGGCACACACAAACGGTCATGGTTCCCGTAGCGGTGGAAGATCAGTCCCTCAAACTCGTGAAAACAGGCTGACTGCCTGGATCAGCCCGTAGCTGCTCAAGGATGGAACTAAGTTCCGGATCCTTGGCGGTGTACTCTACGAGCTCCTCCTTCAGTTTCTTCCGGAGGTCGTAGGACTTAACAAGGCAAGTCATGTATTCGGGGTGGCGAGACAAAGCATCAGCTACTCGGTTATAATAGCCCTTCTTATGTATTAATTCAAAGTCAAAAATGTAAATCTCATGGAACCAGCGAAGCAAGGTAGGGGACAGGGTAGTTTGCTGCTTAATCCACTACAAAGTCTCATGATCTGAAAAGACCTTGAAGTGGCGTCCCAAAAGATAATGCTTCCAGTGATCCAATGCCATACGCAAAGCATAAAGCTCGCGCATGTAAGTGGAGGTGGCTACCTTTACGCTGGGCATGCGTTTGGCCGCAAGCCGTCGCCGTCATCTTGCTGCAGCACTGCACCGATTCCGTACTGGCTTGCATCCGTGGTGACCACGAACGTCAGTTTGGGATCTGCAATGCGGAGTACTGGGTAACTTACCAAGGCTTCCTTCAGAGCTCGAAATGCATCCGTACACGCGGTGTCCCAAGAATAAAGAACATTCTTACTAGTCAGTCGCGACAATGGACGAGCAATGATAGAGAAGCGGGGTACAAACTTTTGATAGTAGGACGCGAGGCCAAGGAAAGAACGCAATTCGCGAATGTTTGCGGGTTGAGGGCAATTGCGTATGACCTCAACCTTGGTTGCCTCAGGCTCTAGGCCTGCACCAGACAACCGATGCCCGAGCACTTCCTCAAGATGCTTGAGATGTTCCTCCATGGACTTGCTGAAGATCAAGATATCATCAAGGTAGACTACCACGAACCGACAAATCTGTTCGCGGAGGATCTTGTCCATGAGGCTTTGAAAAGTGGCTGGTGCGTTCGTGAGACCGAAGGGCATTACGGTGAACTCATAAAGCCGGTCGCGTGTTTTGAACGCAGTCTTGTGCTGGTCCGCAGGATCGACTTCAATCTGGTGGTAGCCAGACTTGAGATCGATCTTGGAGAAGACCTTGCATCCACCTACGACGTCAAGTAGGTCATCTATGCGGGGCAAAGGGTAGGCGTTCTTTCTTATGATGCGGTTTAGACCGCGATAGTCAATACACATGCGGAGTTTGCCTCCTTTCTTTGAAACAAATAACACAGGAGCACCAAATTCAGATTCACTAGGTTTGATCCACCCGTTGTCAATCATCTCATCGATCTGTCGTCGGAGTTCCTCCAACTCGCTGGGTCCCATACGGTACACGCAGCCCTTTGGAGGAACAACACCCTCGACCAACTCGATGGTGTGTCGAACCGGTCGCGTGTGGACTCCACGTGGCTCGGCCAGGACTTCCGGAAACCGATCAAGGAGGGTTTGGATGTCTGATGGGACAGGTGGGGGTGGGGAATCAAGGGATCACCAAGATCCGATCGCAAGTCGCGTATAGAGACGACCGAATCTGAAGTAGGATCATTCGGACTATTAGAGGGTAGAGAGGTAGAGGTGCTAGTAGTCAAAGTACCAGAAGTAGGATCATCAATCAAAGTAGTAGTGGTATTAGCCGCAAAAGTAGATGGCACATGGGTAGGACGAACAAAGGCAACATACAACTGTTCTTCCTCCTTGTGCTTGCGCCATTTCTAGCAGAACTGCATAGCATTCAGAAAAGTCACTGGGGATTCGCGCTTCTCATCCAAGAGGACAGGAAGCTCGTTCCCATGAGCATCTTTGACCATGAAGAGTGATTCCTTCCACTTGGTCCATTAGCATTGGGACTGTAACCAGCCCAAGCCAACGACAGCATCGAAGGGGCACTTGTCAAGGACAAAGAAGTTCAATGCGTGGGTGACAGTCTTGCCTCTGTCAAAGGTAGTGCGCACACCTTTGACTGCATGCGTAGAAGAGACAATTTCCTTGTTGCCAACTTGGGTCCGGCAAGGGTTCTGCAGGGCCACTTGCTTCATTCCCAAGCCCACCTTGCGTATCCCATGTGGTGACATGAAGTTAGCTGTAGCACCACAGTCAACCAACACACGGAGATAGCGGTGGTTTATGAGAAGTTTAAAGAAGATCAACTTCACTTCCCTTGGGCACGCTGCTGTTTCATCTCAGCCCAATGCTCCAAGTGGTATTGGAAGTCAACCATCTCAGACTCCTCCCAAGGCTCGACATACAAGACATTACTTACCTCAGCCTTGTCTTCAGCAGATGGTTGGGCTTCAAGGGAGGGCTGCTGATTTTCAACAGAACCGGACTCACCTGCTGTAGAGTTTGTTGAAACTGACTCTACGCCCGATTCTGGTTTCCCTGCAGCCTATAACGGTCCTGAACCTTATGATTTGGTTTCTGGCAATGCAGGCAAACCCTTTTCTTGAGTCTGCCCCGCCAGTCATTCTCAGTGATCCAAAGGTCAACCCAAGGTTTGGTAGTTGCATCCTCCGGTTTAGGCGGGATCTTGACTCCTTTGGAAAGTTGGTCATAACTTTTCCCGGCACCCCGATTTGGTCCCTTAGCACTGACAGTCTTTTTAAAGGCAGAAAAATTTTCTTCTTCTTTATTTGCATCGGACTCATGGGCTGAAGAACAAGTTGTATCGGAGTCCTGTTCTTGGTCGTCACCAAGAGTGGGGTCATCCACATCGGCTTCTTCTTCGGCCTCCAACAGGTCATGCACAACAAAACGGCTGCTGCCCTTGAACCGTCTGCCGCCCATGGGCTTTTTGCTGCCTACCGTGCTAACGAGGTCTATAGCCTCCAAACTGACTATGTCCTTCATTAAGGTGAGCCCCAGGTGATTAGTAAAGTTAGTTGGAACCGCGCCCTTAACCACATCTAAGCAAGATTGAGCAGTCAATTCCAAACCAGGAGTAGCGAACATCTTGCTAAGATAGGTTTGCATGCTTTTCATGGAGCCAGTCCACTTGCTGAGCTTGACTTTGTCAAGTTGGATTCTTGCTCTAGCCACAATATGTGGATCCTGATATTGTGAGATAAGGAGATCCTCGAGGGAGGCAACCGGGGTGGTCTTAAGCCATTTGGCTAGTGCAGTCTTTTGGAACCCAGCCCGCGTCGCTTGGACTTCTAGGAAGCCCCGTACGACCGGCTCGACATTCATTCCCATGATCACTGCCTGGGTCTCAGGTTGAGTCCCCAGAATCTCAAAGTAGGCCCTTATGGAGCCGATCCAGGACTCGATGTCTTCCTTGCCGTCGTACTTAGACGGTATCTGTACCGCTTTTCGGTTCACATAGGGACCAGCGTGGCTGGGACCAACAACAGCTGGTTCCACTCTTGGGGCTGCAGCAGTTGCAGAAGTTCCAGCCTCATTGCTTGTTACAGCAACAGCGGAATCTGCACCTTTTGTAGGTCTCGAGGGGGTTCCCAACACATTCGAGGAAGAAGATACAATAAGAGGGGCAGAAGTAGTTTCGATTGCAGCTTCAGATCCAGGGGGTAGAGGAAGAGGGTTGGCCACTTGGGCTTGTCGCAGGTCAGCCACCTCCTTTGTCAATTCATGGTACTTGCGGGTCATATCAGTCAGATCATCTTGAAGTGTCTGCAACTTTGCAAAGACTTCAGCGATCTGAGTGGTATGGTCCTCAAGATTTCTGACTTGAACAAAGGCTGTAAGTATGGACTACAATTGTTCCCCACACTGCTCTTCAGTCAGTGAGGGAACAGTCTCTAGGAGGGCCACTTGCCTTTTCAGCAAGGTCTACTTTCTCTCCTTCTCTGTCTCTTGTTCCCTTTTAATTGCACTATCTAAAAGTGCTTGCAGATAAGGTTTCTCAGCATCACTGGCTGCATCTAATAAGGCCCGCCACTGAATTGATGTTAGCTGAGCCATTATTGGATTGTTAGTATGGACAGGTGGGTCAGAGAGTCGCCAATCAGCAAAAGAATCAATTAGACTCTCAAGAGGTTCACTCCCCCTCCCGCTTGGTCGAACACTCCTTTTCCCAATCCTAGCCCACCTCAGACGATCACTTTCTCTCTCTCCCTGTTCTCTCTCCCTCCTCTCTCTCTCTTCTTTCAAGTTGCTAGTCTCCCCGGGCATCGGAAATGACCTCAGGAAAACAGACTGAAAAGCTCAGAGAAGAGAAGGTAGAACTCCTAGCCGGAGCGACATTTCATTTGGAAGTAGAGAGCAGCAAAAGAAACAAACAATCTCAATGAGAGGTCTGATCCAGCGACCCAGTCTGATCAGACTGCATACGAGGTCCTCTCGAGTCCAGTCTGACCAGCTCCGTGACCGTACATCAAATCAGACAACGAGTAGCTAAATGCAACAATGGAGAATCGAGTGGTGTATGCGAGTCAAGCCACGGACAGTGCAATCAGAAGACATGCGAAACGTCTCAGCCAAGATCCCCTCGGCAGTGGGTATCCTAATCCAAGAAGAATGAACTCGTATCCCAACCAAGAAGACAAGAGCTCAATGCCTAACCGATTTGGGTCCATAGGCTCTTCTTGTTTGGGCTCGGTCCCCAGGGTCCCGCTGGGTCCCAAGGGTCCCACGTAGGTCTCAACCAGGTCCCAACCAACAGGAGTTCCACCTGAACTTAGTTTAGTTTGTACTGCATTGAAAAACGAACTTTCAACTTCTGGCAGAACCTACAGACTACAACCGTTCAGAGATGAAAAGACAAAGCACTGTAGAAAGACTCGGCATGTAGGTCAAGATACTTCATTTTCCATCCATCAGGTGAGTAGGTAGATCACATGCATTCAGTCACACAATCAAGACCACAGAGGAGTAGGAAAAGAAACCCAGAGTACCCCAGCAGGACAATCAATACCATACACATATACATGGGCATCCCGTAGGTGCACGACACTTACCTGAGTGGCCTTGAGCTTCGAGATGAATAGAACTCACCCCCTTTCTCATGTGGTCCTCCTGACCCCTCTAACGCTACCCCTACACTAGTGTCCTATCTCCTAGGAGGGTCCGACTCCAACACCCAAGTGCAACGCCGGATCCCCCGTCGATGCTGAAGATCAAAGTAGCAACTTGCAGTCCGTTGATGCAGAATGGCCGCTGACACTCAAGCTCGCCTACTTGAGGGCAGCCCTTAAGTTGCCAAGTGTCTCCCTTGAATCAGATTCCAGGTGCGAGTGCCTCTCACTGTCGCCTCTCTCAAATCGCCGCATGAAGTCTCCTCGAAATGTCTCGCCACCCTGATCTCACTCTCAAGCAACCTGGTTAGGTTCTATGTTGACCCCACATGACCTAACCAGGTGGGGGCAGCTTCCCTAAGCCATGTTGCCCCACTTCCCTCAACCAACCAACCCTAACCCTAAGTGTTGCCCTCAACCACTTAGGTTAGGGTTAGGGCAGCAAAGTCAACTCTCACCATCAGAGGATTAGAAGAAGAAGAAGAAGTAAGAAAGAGGAAGAAGAAGATGTACACCAGCAAAGACAATGACAAGGCTCTTCTTCCTCGCCCAACAATCTCCTCCTCCTTATCTCCCCCTCCTCTTATTCATACAAGAAATAATAATACAATGTTGAATGACTGGTCCAGAATCAATGTCCGAGTCCCTCTTCTACTGCAGGTATCACTCAAGGTCCACCATAGCCATGGCCGCCTCTCTCACTCTTCACTCTCATAGGCCGAGGCTATGGCGGACTACTAGGCCTTGCTCAGATCTCCAAAGGACAACCCAAAGCAGCTATGGCTGCTCCAGCTCAGGCCGCCATGCCCAGCCTTGCCTTGAAGCTTCTTGGTGTGGCTCTCCCTGGCTGGGGACTCCTTGCTGCAGTGCCCACCAAGGTGATGAAGATGGCTGCCACCATAGCCAGGTAAGTACCCCTGGCACTCCTCCCCCTTCCTTCCTCCGTCCTCCTTCTTCCTCCCTCAAGTCCTTCTCCTTCCTCCCCAGCAGTGCCGCTCCAGCTTAGCGCTGGTCCAGCCAGTGCTCCACCAGTGTGTCGCCAAACTTGCACACCGAAAAAGAGGCCGGGTCTTCCGCCCGGCCTGAAGATATACCGGCCTGCTTTGCCTCTTGGGCGGTGACTTCCAGGCCGCTGGCCTTCCCAAGCAACCGGTACCTCCTCCTTTTTGGAGGGAAACATCATTGCAGACTCTGNCGGTGACTTCCAGGCCGCTGGCCTTCCCAAGCAACCGGTACCTCCTCCTTTTTGGAGGGAAACATCATTGCAGACTCTGATATTGCCCCTACAGGTCCTAGACTCAGACTGGTACCCGCTAGACCTAGCCTACACTACCGACCTCTAAAAATGCTACTTTTGTCTTCTTCTGCTCGGCCTCCGGTACCTGCATATTTACCCCCCTGCCGGGTGCAGTACCGGCCTAGCCGCTACTTGAGTGCTTTTCCCCCCCTGCAACCCTTCGAAGCCACGGCCACAGGTAAGTACCGGCCCTGAGGGCCCAACGAACGAACAAGTGCCATGGCGAGCCACACA